CGTGGAATTGAGATGGATTGCACCTTTGACTTCTATGGACAACAATTACTAAGACACGGCTCACACCTCTTCAAACAAAGTTCGAACGAGGGTGTTTGATTGATGGTTTTTGGGAACGAGATCTAAATTAAATTACTTCTACTCCTATGGAGGTTCGGCGAGAGCTCCAAACTACGAACTACATCTATGGCTACATGATAGAGAAAAGGTAAAGTATAAACTTGACAATGTGTGTCAGAGTGTTGGTTTTGGAACCCATGTCTCTGTCGACCCCTCCTCTTATTTATAGCCCCGAGGAGGTAACCGCCATAGAAAACCGCTTGTTGGATAACTGCTACAAAGAACCGCTTCTCCTTCTTCGGTAGAAAACCGCCTCTTGGATAACTCCCAAAAATAACCGCTCCCTGCTTCCTCGGAGTGGTGGTTACTCCTTCAACTGCCTAGGTGCCTCTCTTGGAACCGTCGTGGGTTTTGGAGTATAGCTTGCCTCGCCTGGTCTTGTTCTGAATCTCGTGTCATGCTAGTCTTTTGACGAGCATGTGGTGTCTCGCAAAGGGGGTCATGGTTCTCTTGTCTCATGGCCATGGACTTCTTACCCATGTCCATGGCCCACTTGGGACTTAGTCATTATTGATATAGTGCTCCACCACCACGCCCTTCTCATTCATGTCCATGGCCACTCTTGCGAAGTGGCATGGACTTCTCAATCATGCACAAGGCCCCTCTCATGAGGCAGCATGGCCTTTCCATACTTAGTATTTTCAATATTTTCTAACGCTTCTTGCTTCGCGTCCATGGCCATCACATGACACGGCCATGGACCTCTTAATCATGCACATGCCCTTCTCATGAGGTGACATGACCTTCTCAGACTTAGTATATTTTGTTCTCGAGACTTAGAATATTTTTGACCGTATCGAGGTCTTCCTTGAGATGGCATGTGCTTCTAAATTCTAGACGGACATGTTTTTGTGTCGTTTGGTCTTGGTTATGAGGCGGCATTAGGGATGGCAGTTTAGGCCCGATCCGACGGATTTTCCCCGACCCAGCCTGTGATGGGGCGGATAAAACCCGATTCGTGACAGGACAGAGCGGATCTTGCCCCACCCCGCAGCTTGTACAGAGCAGGCATGGGTACTGGTGATGCCCCGCTCCGCCCCGCCCCACCCCGCATAATATCCATTTGTGGCGTGCGTGCAAGGGCTGCCTGCCTGCCTCTGTCATCTACCCTAGCAATTTTGAGTTCCCAAAATTGAAATTCCCCATCACCTTCCAACTTCCCAAATTTCCCTATCATCTTCCGTCTTCCCAAATTCCCAATCATCTTCCAACTTTTCCCTCTGTCATCAATAACTCCATTAGCTTCCCCATAAACTAGAGGCTTTTAAATAGAAGATGAAGAGCTCGCAGAAGACTACACCATCAGAACTCATAATAGCATATCATCTTCATCTCCTTCACTGCCAAGTAGGAGCTGTCGAGGTCAAGTTGTGTTCTTGCTATTACTTGTAAGTTGGCTCTACACTGCACATTGCAATCTTAATTTCTTGTGCCGATTGTCCTGTTTTAAGTAATTTGTTCATCGTTCTACGCCTCCAGATTGCAATCTCAATTTGTTGTATTGATTGTTATTATTTGTTTATCCCTGTCGGCAGCCACAGTCATGGACGCTTCTGCTCCACAATCTAACCCAAATCAACATGAATATGCGCCTGTGGTTGTGCCAAACTCTTCAAATGTTGTTGCTGTCCAGCCTCAAGATCCCCCTATTGAAGCAACAAATAATAACGAGAATCACCAGCGTGGTACTGGTACACTGGGGAAGGTTTATTCAAAGTGGTGGGCACATTATCATAAGATGGAAGTTGATGGAGTGCCAAAGGCCAAATGCAAGCATTGCAGTAAGAAGCTTGTTGGAGACCCGAAGCAAGGGACAACCCATTTGAAGAATCACTATTACAGATGTTCTAAAAGGAAAGCCACAGACATAAAGCAACAAGTTTTACAAGGTAACATGGTTAAAGATAAGTTCCAGCTTACTCCTTTCAGCTTTGATCAGGATAATTCTCGCAAAGAGCTTGCAAGAGCAATTATCAAGCATGAGTATCCCCTGACCATAGTGGACCATGAAGGATTTCGAAGCTTTTGCCAGAGCTTAAATCCATGTTTCAAGATGGTGTCAAGGAACACAATTAAAAAAGATTATTTTAGCTTATATGATCTCGAGAAAGAGGCAACAATGAAACTCTTTGAGAGAAGTGAATGTCGTGTGGCTGTAACAACTGATATGTGGACATCATCTCAGAATAAGGGCTTTATGGCAATCACTGCCCATTACATCGATGAAAGTTGGAGATTGCAGAATCGAATTATCAGGTATACCATATTCTGCAAACTTAGTTCTTTGTGACTGGTTTGTTTCTTGCTGCCTGGTTTGTTTCTTACAATTACAATGACTTTTTTAGTTTTGAAACTCAAGTGCTTTCATTTGTCTGTTACTTCAGGTTTAAATATGTGCCTTCTCCACATACAGGCGAAGCACTTTGTGAAGAGTTGAAGCAGTGCTTGTTGGACTGGAATAATGACCATAAGTTGTCAACTATCACGGTTGATAATTGCTCAACCAATGATGTGATGGTGAATCTGCTCCTACAGAAGCTCGAGTTGGAGTCTCTTTTGGTTGATGGTACTTTGATCCACATGCATTGCTGTGCGCATATATTAAATTTGATCGTGAAGGAAGGGTTGAAGGTCATTGGACCAGGAATTGAGAAAATACGAAACAGCATTCGATTCTAGATAGGAACCCCGAAGAGATTGGAAAAAATTGAAGAAACTGTTTGTCAACTTAAAAACAAGCTTCGTATCACATCTGGTAAGAAGCTTACCCTTCATTGTGAAACTCGTTGGAACTCTACCTATATGATGCTGAATACAGCCTTAGAGTATAAAGAGGTATTTTCTCGCTTGAAAATTCGTGAACCAAAGTACAAGTGTTATCCAAGTGAGGATGATTGGATTTTGAGCAAGGAAATATGTGATAGGCTGAAGACTTATTATAATGCCACTACACTGTTATCTGGCACTGAATACCCTACTGTGAATTTGTGTTTCTCGGTTATTTGTGAGGCTAAGCTTGCTTTAGATCGTTGGAGTGTTTGTGGGATTGAAGCAATTGAGAAGATGGCGTTTGATATGATAGAGAAGTTTAACAAATATTGGTCTAATGTGCATGGTTTAGTGGGAGTGGCAGCGGTTCTTGACCCAAGGTACAAAAAAGATGTGCTGAACTGTTACTATGGTGAGATCTATCCTGATAATTGTGAAGAGGAAGTAGAGAAGATTTTGGGTATTTGTCGTATCTTATACCAGCAATATGAAAAAGAGGAACAAGATAGAGAAGAAGAGGATACTGAAGAACATAATCATATGAGGGCCTCACAAGCAAATGCAGCAGATGGAGAAATGTTTACTACCAAGTTTGATCTCTATGCTTCTCAAAAGAAAAGGAAAATTGCAAGATCAGAGCTGGATGTGTATTTGGATGATGGAATTCTTCCTAAAACACAAGGTTTGATGTTTTATGCTGGTGGAAGTCAAACAAAGGCAAATTTGCTATACTGCATAAACTTGCAAGGGATATCTTAGCGATTCCAGTTTCTACGGTTGCTTCCGAATCTGCTTTCAGTACGAGCGGAAGGATAATTTCTCCACAACGTAGTAGGCTTGACCCGATTACCATAGAAACATTGATGTGTACTCAGAGTTGGTTATTTGCTGGTTTAAAAGGTAATTACTTTAACACCGTTGTTACTGCCATTTAAAAAGTTAAAACTTTTCTGTGTTTATAGTTTTGTCAATAGCTAACATTTGTTTCTTTTCTTTGAATATATGTATAGCTGGATCATCAAAGGATTACTCCCGTGGTACTGTTCTATATAATTCTGATGTAGAGGTGGAGATTGAAGTTCAGGTATGTTATAATTTGCAGCCATTTTCTTTCTCTGCCATTTAGTTTCCTCGGTTGTTTGATGATGCATTGAATGAGATTGATGTTAATTTGCAGCAACAGGGACAGGGTGCTAATAAAGGTCAAAGCTAGCTTATGCATGGTCATTTCTAAGTCAAGGTTATTGTTTTTCTCTTATTTTTGCACTGTACAACTCCAGGTTTATATATGCAGCTGGTCAAGAATCCAATTTTCATTATGTTTCTCTTGATTTCCTCTCACCAGGTGCTACTGATGTCTACTGTTTTTGGCTGGAAAAGGAGAACTTGCTTTTGGCATGGTGAATTAGTGATCACTGCTTTTGGATGGAGAAGAAGAACTTGTTTCTTTGTCAATGAACTTTAGTTTAGATTGGGGAGATTGTGATTTATGTTATTGCTCTAACACTTCACTTTTGATCTGGGAGCATTGATGGATTTTTAGTTTATCTAGAGAATTTGCTTTTCGTTGTCATTTTAATTTCTATGATTGTAGTGGGGAATATTGCTAGAATTCGGTAGCCAGTGGCAGTGGCCACTGCATCTTGCAATTTAAGTTTATTATATATGTTTCATCTTTTTAAGTTTTAGCAAGTAAATTTTTTTAACAAGAAAATGACGGGGTGGGTTTTACACGACCCGTACAGGGCGGGGCACGGATTAAAGTTTTTTAATTCGTGGTGGATCGCGGGGCAGAGCGGGGCAAATTACATAATCGCAGAGCAGGGCGCGGATCTACCACTACCCGCCCCATTGTGCCCCGTTGCCATCCCTAGGCGGCATGGCCTCTTCATTCATGGCCATGGACTTCTCATACTTAGAAATTTTAATGTCATCTCGTGGCATGGCATGGCCTCTTACGAGAGGCCCATATCCCTTATTGAATCATGTCCATGCTCATTAATGAGCTAGTGACTTGGGTTTAAAATCAATATCCATAAGGCCCAATTTAAACAACATTAATTGTTATAATGAGTGTGACCTTATAAACTCCTTGATTATCTTGTAACTCACCAATGTGGTACAAGACAAAATTTATGGTGTAAACAACTCTACATCTTGGATGATGTGGAACAAAACTAACAGTTGGCTTCCAAAGATTTGGTTCCCACATTATTTGTTTCTGATGTACGCGTCCGTCCGTAAGTGGACAAGAAACGAAGGACCACTTGCATGGATCCATCCCCCAACCCCTCCCCTGCAATGCACTACTCTTTTTGTTCCCTTCTGCCTTCCTTCCCGTGAACTCCAAAATACGTCCCCAAACGTACAAATTCCTTTCACATATACACACAGTTTTGTGGCTTCTTTCTTAGTTTGACATGTGATCCTCTACACTCCAATCCAAACCCAATCTCTTTCTTCATCATTCACGAAACAAAAACATGTCCCCCCGTCTGTGTCTCTGCCACACAAAAATGAGGCGATGATGAGCTATCCTTTTTATGGCCACTAGGAAACGCCACAGCCACTTATCATCACTTCTATATTTAACACAACGAGCAAAGCTTTCACTCCGGTGTACACCCAACGTCCTACAATGGCGCCTCGTTATGTCCATCTAGCAATAATACTATCCACCCTTCCCGCTCTCTTCTGTACCGCCGCCACGTCACCATCGGTTCCCGGCAACGACAACGAGTTCATCAGAACGTCGTGTGGGGTGACCAGGTACCCGGAACTCTGCTACTCCACGCTGTCACCCTACGCCGCCGACGTAGGGAACAGCTTCCCTCAGCTGGTGAACGCGGCGCTCCGCGTCACCCTAGACGGCGCCGTTTCGACGTGCAGCGCGGTCCGGAGCCTGGCTCGTGCGGCGCCGAGGCGGATGAAGGGCAGCGAGCTGGCGGCAGGGGCGGTGAGCGACTGCGTGGGGAACATGAAGGACTCCGTCGACCAGCTGAAGGATTCGATGGCGGCGATGAAAGGGCTGGATCACGGTCCGGATTTCGCGATGGAGCTCGGGAACATGCAGACGTGGGTCAGCGCGGCGTTGACCGACGAGGACACGTGTGTGGATGGGCTGGAAGGGAGCGCGATGAACAAGAAGGTTAGGGATGAGATACGGCGCCGTGTTGTTAGGGTTGCCCAGCTCACTAGTAATTCTCTCGCGCTTATTAATCGTCTGTAGCTGAATCTGAATATGTTTGCGCACTAGCTAGGTGAATTATAGTGTTGTTAATAAATTTCTGGAATTTCAGAATGCAAGTTCTATTGTGTCTCAATGCGTTTTTTCGTTGAACTTCAGAATCGTAAAATTGTAAGGTGTTGGTTTTATATGTGTATATAGTGCAAGTCGAATTTTTTGGGTGTATCAATTAAAGTTCATTGATTTGTGATTGTCACTGGAGCAAGAAAGGACTATGCACTCTTGATGAGCGTTGGAAGCATCAAAGTTCAGCACCAATTAATTACGCTGATTTTCACAAATCCTCCCACCTATGTGACAACGTGGATGTCCTGATTGCTTCTTTCAGGTTCACGAGAGACACAATTTCTAATGAGAATCTTATCGGTAATTTAATAATCTTGTTGGGCATGTGACTCGGATCCCGCCGCGCCAAAGAAATACAGACTCTAAGAGACGGGCGCACCAACATCGGCGCGAGCAAGCGCATAGGTGAGCGCGAATACCTAGAGACGCGCGCATCAGCGCCACCGCGCCCGAAGGCAGTCCGAGTCCAGCATTGACTAAAGTAACGAGAATGAGAAGCGGCGTCGTGTCCCACCTGTCGGATAGTCACATCAAGGTCCTAGGTATAATAAAAGGCTAAGTGTACTTGTCCTAGGTAGGGATATGGCCTAGTCTTCTGACATGTCAGTAGTCATGTCACTATGACAGGTCACCATGTAACTCACCCACCACCATGTAGCCTATAAATAAGGCATTAACTCCGGTGGGTGAGGGGAGGGGATTTTTCTGACTCTATCTCTAAGATTATCAACTTCTCTCTCTAAGTCACCCTACTTTCAACTCAACTTCTTTCTTTTCCCTATTCCTGGATCAACGGCATATTCTGATAGCCTATTCTCCTCAACCCATTCCCCGAACCTCACTCCTACACTCAGTTAGGTTCAAACTTGCTCTGTAGGACACCGAGCTCCTCCATCGCCTCATTGGCCTTATGAAGGCGGACCAGGTCATCCTTCTCCTTCTGCAGCTCTTCGCGATCCCGCTTCAGCTTCTCCGCGTAGGAGGCCTCCAGCTGCGCGCGTATGGCGGCGCGCTCCTCGACCCGCACTTGCTCATTGGCCGCCTCCACGTCGGCACCCAACTTGCTCTGTAGGACACCGAGCTCCTCCATCGCCTCGTTGGCCTTATTGGTCGGCACGACTTTTCGCCCCAACGACCTTCCCCTCCAGCTGGATGATCTTCGCCTCGTCGTCCTTCATCTTTGAGCACTGCAATGTGCGCTCCTTCTGGGCCCGGAAGGCCGCCAGCAAACCCTACACGCGCAAGCGCCCCAAGACTTAGCAAAAAACTAGCAAAGATGATCACATAGTGTCGAGCGATCAAAAATAACCTCACCGCAAAATGAATATGCGCCAGGTCTTGCAACGGATCGGACTTCTCCATCCGCGCATGGGTGCTCAGGTGGGGCTTCAGCGTGCGAAGCGCGGTGTTTGCTGCTACGCTGTTGCAGGCAGCGCCGGTATGAATCCGCACGTCACGGAAGTAGTTGATGGCAGAGGCCATCTCGGGCAGCCTCTGTTGAAGCATCGCACCAGAAGAACTTCCGGCCGTTAAATTCTCCGGACGCTGAGACGCATCAACGCGCGCACCAGACGCGTCCCCATCCATGATCACGAGTGGCAACTGTTGTGCCGCCCGCTCAGTCACCCGCTCAGCAGCTCGCTCAGGTTGAGCCGCCTGCTCAGCCACCCGCACCGGTTGAGCATCAACCCGAGCCACCTTGCTGGGCTTCTCTGCCACGGAAGGCTGCCCAACCTCCTTCCTCTTCGCGCGCTCAGATGGTGCAGTTTCCTTCTTCTTAGCGCGCTCAGATGGCGCAGTCTCCTTCTTCTTCTTCCTCTCGCCCTTCGAGGCCCGCGGAGCTTTCGCCACCACGTCGTCAACTGACATCATGCTGACCAAGCTCGTGAAGTCAACACCTGCGCCAATAAATTGTAAGAGAGCGGTTAATATAATAGAATGCATAAGGAAAGAGACGCAACAAACCATCAGCAAAGAGCTCCACCAAACAAGCTTCGCGGACCCCGCCCGTGTACAAGTTGAACTTTTGGTTCATGCACGCTTCATATTCAGCGTCGAGCCTGTCATATTTGCCCAGGTCGCGCTCGTAGCCGTGCATGCTATCCTTCTTCCACACAATCAGTTCCTCCATGTACACACTCGCCCACTCTCCCGGCGTGGGCTAACATAGAAGAAGCGCTCGAACCAAGTCTTCTTCAGCTTAGGAGACCCGTACGCAAAACCGTCGGGCCTCTTGTCGCGCCGCCTGATGGAGAGGCAGTCACTCCTCCTTGTCGGCTCCTTGATTTTGTACATCTTGCGGAACAAACCGTAGGTCGGCGCGATATTGAGCCTCTTGCACGCGAGGCGGAGGCAACTCGCGTGCATAATGACAGAAGGGGAAAGACGACCAACAGAGCAGTTGAGCCGCCTGTAGATCGCGCATAGCAGTGGGTCAATGGGGAATTTGAACCCTATCACCCAGTACTCGGTATACACCCCGATCCACCCTGCGGGGCAATTACCAACGGTACTCCGAGTTGAGGGAATCGCATACTCCCAATGGGGGGCAATCCCAACCCGCGCACGATCTCCATCACTTCCCTACGCCCGTAGATCGATGCATGATCAGGCCCCTTTAGAAGACTATCCTGCGGCGCTGGCTGATCACCCCACATTTCCGCCCAATCGAGTATCTTGTACGCCGCGCTCACACCGAGGAACCCTAGGCGGCTTATCGCCTCGGATACACGCGCAACGCAGCGCGGCTCTGACGGCGTGTCAGACTCTTCACGCGCGTCACGATTCGCGCTCCCTGACGCACCCGCACGGTCGCGTCTGATTATCAGCACGCCACGGGCACCGACGCCGGACGACACGTTCCCAGACACCGTAGCATCCACATCTGATGAGCCACGGCTGCCCGGTTCCGAATCAACGTCGTAGGACGGTGTCGCCGGAACCCCGCCACCACCAGAGCCGTCGTCGCCCCCGTGCCCAGATTCAGCAAGATCCAACAAAGGATCAGTAGAAACACGCGAGGGAGAGGAGAGATTACCTTCTTCGTCTTGTACGACCTCGATCTCGTTGACGTTGACGTCAGCCATAGCAGACTCCGGAGTTTGGCAACAACAGATTGAGAAGAGAGGTTGTAGAAGAAGGAGAGGACTCTCGAACACACTCGACGTGGAGAGAATAGGGAATAAAGTCGAAAGAGGCAGAATGGCAGAATGGAGTCCAATTCCCCTTATGGTTAGCTATTTATAACCAAGAGAGGGAAGCCGAACAGTTAAAGTTGCTTCGAAATACGCAACCGTCAGAGCCTTTTCGAAATTCAAAACGACCGCCAAAACAAGCCAACCACACAAGGACACGTGGACACCTAACATAGGCATAGTCATTAGGCACTAGTCGATGACGTTGCAAACTCCGCGCATCGCCTGGGGGCATGGTACACCCGTGGAGAGAAACAAAACCGACAAAAATCTAGGCTTAGCAGAAAGCGTCGCGCGCAGCTGAGCCAATCGCGCGAAAACCGAATGGTGCCAGCCCTAAATAACACCAGGGGGGCATGACACATCTTCCGAAGTCCAAGCTTATCAGAAAGCGTCACGCGCAGTAAATAACACCAGGGGGGCATGACTCATCCTCAGAAGTCCCAGCTTATCAGAAAGTGTCACGCGCAGACAAGACGATCGCGCGCAACAATAAAAAAGAAAGAGAAAGAGAAGGAGAAAAACACCAATTCTGAACTCATGAAGATCGCGCAGAAATCAGAGTCAAGCGCGCACGAAGATCAAGAAGATCACGCGGACCCGAGTCAATCGCGCGGAAGTCAAACAGGCGGCGTTCGCAGAACACCCCCTGATGGGGGGCAATTGTTGGGCATGTGACTCAGATCCCGCCGCGCCAAAGAAATACAGACACTAAGAGACGGGCGCACCAACATCGGCCCGAGCAAGCGCATAGGCGAGCGTGAATACCTAGAGACGGGCGCATCAGCGCGCCCGAAGGCAGCCCGAGTCCAGCATTGACTAAAGTAACGAGAATGAGAAGCGGCGTCGTGTCCCATCTATCGAATAGTCACATCAAGGTCCTAGGTATAATAAAAGGCTAAGTGTACTTGTCCTAGGTAGGGATATGGCCTAGTCTTCTGACATGTCAGTAGTCATGTCACTATGACAGGTCACCATGTAACTCACCCACCACCATGTAGCCTATAAATAAGGCATTAACTCCGGTGGGTGAGGGGAGGGGATTTTTCTGAATCTATCTCTAAGATTATCAACTTCTCTCTCTAAGTCACCCTACTTTCAACTCAACTTCTTTCTTTTCCCTATTCCTGGATCAACGGCATATTCTGATAGCCTATTCTCCTCAACCCATTCCCCGAACCTCACTCCTACACTCAGTTAGGTTCAAACAAATCTAATACGACTATGGGGAGTGTATGTTATTAAAGTAACGCAACTAACGATTTAATCGAAGAATCGATTGAACTTGAATCAAGAACGAAACATTCTTAATACAAACTTGGATAAAACGGAACCAAAAGGATGATTCCACACCTGTGGATAGCTAGATTGGGTTAAAGGGTAGTTGCTCAACCATGATTGAAGCGACTATTCAATCGATACACAAGCTCAGCAAGTTTGCAATCCACCACTTGAACAAACCAAACGGTTTCTTTTCGATTCAACAAAGTCTGATGATTACAATGCAAAAGACGAGTTTAAATAGGGCTAGCTAGGGTTAACTTTGGTAAAAGCAACTCCTAATTACATTCTAATACGAATAAGAACTAAAAAGTAGCAAAAAAAGAACCTAATTCTAATCGAATAAGGAAAACAATTATGTTTTTTACAAAGGCAGAATTTTGTGACTTCGTACTAACTTCGTGCCTTTCGTTCGAGGTCGTCCAGATCTCCTGTCTTTCATCCAATTCCTTCTCTTGGTATACAAACATACATATTTTAATTTTGTGGAAGCCTTTGGACTCGAATCAGATCCATACTCCTCGAATTGAGCTCCAAAGTAGGCTTAACAAACCAGTTTTCTACCTTAACCATTTGCAGGCAGTTTTGAGTTTTCCAGATAGCAACTTTGGACGTCTGGAAAATGGTCTTAATGGATTCTTCTAGATCCAAAAACCATACCAATGTGTATAGGGGAACTTTATCTTAAAAAACCACCTCACCTTGAATTTCCACCGAGCCAATTGAGAGAACCATGCCTCCAAAGTAGGCATCTCGAAACTGTTCCAACACTTGGCCAAATTCTGTCTTTCTTTTTCCCAACTTCGATAGCCTCTTCTTCAAGTAATTTAAACTTATAGAGCTGAATATTTAGGATCATATCATAATCCAATGAATCACGAAGGTTTCTTCTGCCTAGATTGAAAAACAACAACGAATTCATTGTAAATTTTTCGCGACATTGTAAAAAAGAAGAAAAAGGTACGATTCGAAGCTTACTTTATGATGTTTTGGAAGAACAGAGCTGGACGCCATTGTCGATCCCTTTCTCCCTTTGATTAATTGGTAAGAAGGAAAGCACGGATTAGAGGATTGACTGGGGTGTGAGCACTTTGACTGGAGGTAAAAGACAGGGCGTGGGTGTGAAGTGGAAATAAACTACTTTTTTTTAATTTTTAGCTGATACATTATTTACTTAATGGTCAAAGTAGAATATGTCACTGCAAGATTTTGTTTTTTTACGGAATTGGATTGATGGTGATGATCATTAGTGCCATGTAAATATAAAGGCAGCAGACAAATGTAAATAAATTGAGAAACTGAATGACAAACGTATCATTTATTCAGAGGATTGCTTAACAGTATCGTCCTACTCAACTTTTAAGCTATAGAAAAATTGGATCTAACATTTAGACTAACTCCAACCCAAAAAGCTATATTTAGCCTCCCAAGCTCTCAAATGTGCATATTTGCCTCCCCAAAACACCTTTTTGCTCCAACCCTATAGGCTTCCAAATTTAGCTTCCCACATCTTTTTTTGATTTAATTTCCATAATCCATACTTATTTACAATATAATTCTTGTAATTCACTTTAATTTTTTTTATAGTTTGTTATTACTTGTGAAAACAAAATTTTTGATGTAATTTTTTTTAATTCCGAGATAATTTTTTTTTTCAAAATTAGTCATTTTTTGTAGCCGTTACTTTATGACCGTTTTTTTGGACTGATCCAAATATGACCGTTTTTTTTAGCCATTACTTTATGATCATTTTTTTGTCGTTTTGTGCATCATGTGTTTATAAATTACAATTCTTCATTTTTCATCAACTCACTGAAACTTCTTCCCATTTCTAAAACAAACACATTCATCATGAGTATGTCAGATAGCTCCTCGTCGGGAGGAGAAGAAGAAATCGAAGAGTACGAGAGGTTTCACCACCTACGGTTGAGTTTAATCGGCTGGAGGCTGGCTGAAGGTTCATCAAGTCGACGTCACATTGATCGTGAAAGGGTCGAATGTAATCGCCGTCTTATGAGGGATTACTTCGATCCAAATCCAGTATACAATGCTCGCATATTTAGAAGGCGCTATTGGATGCAACCAAGATTATTCCATCGCATTATGGGCGACATTGTGAGGTTTGACCCCTCATTTGCTCTACGGCGTGATAGCTTGGGTCAATTATCATTATCTCCAGAGCAGAAGCTTACTGGTGCGATGCGCATGCTAGCATATGGTTCTCCAGCTGATCAACTTGACGAGTATGTTCGTATGGGTGAGAGTACTTTGATGGAGGTGTTCAGAAAGTTCTGCAACAACATTATCAACATGTATGGGGCCACATATCTTCGCGCACCTACTCCTGCCGATTTAAGGATCTTACTCAGTAAAGCCTCAAGACATGGCTTTCCTGGAATGATTGGATCAATTGACTGTATGCATTGGGAATGGAGGAATTGTCCAAGTGGCTGGGCAGGACAATACACCGGCCACATGCATAGGCCAACAATCATTCTAGAGGCGGTGGCCTCCTACAACACAGGGATATGGCATGCTTTCTTTGGGTCTCCTGGATCGAACAACGATATAAATGTTCTGGGGATGTCGCCAGTGTTTGATCGTATTGTCAATGGAAGCGCTCCACATGTACGATTTGAGGTAAATGGCCATGCTTATGATCAATGCTATTATTTGGCCGACGGTATTTATCCCTCATGGTCGACTTTAGTGAAGACCTTCCGCAATCCAAGGTCAAACAAAGAGGCTTTGTTTGCTCAACATCAAGAAGCACACCGCAAAGACGTAGAGCGGGCATTTGGAATCCTCCAATCAAGATGGGCAATTGTTCGTGGCCCTGCAAGAGCTTGGGATGTTGTCACACTGAACAATATAATGTTGACGTGCATTATATTACACAACATGATAATCGAGGATGAGCAAGTTAATTCTGATGATGAGATGGATGATGACCTTGATTATGCGGTCCATGAACAACCTCAACCAATCAACCGACACGTTCCAACTCTGGTTGATTATTTGGCTAGAAATAATAGGATTCGCTCCTCAACAACACATCATGCGCTTCGAAATGACTTGGTTGAGCATCTTTGGAATTTGCAGGGCAATAACTAGTATTGTTTAATTATGGATTGTATTGCTTGTTTGGTAGTTTGTATTTCAAGTTTCAGTGTGTGATTGTATTTCATGTTTCAATAAAGTGTGTTTTGTAGTTAGTCAAAAGATTCAATAACGACTAGTTTTTTTATTACACATGAAAATGCTCAAAGTTCAAATACAACACACCACATAAAGCAATAAAAGCCTCAATTAGTACACATAGGACCTTCTTCTAATCATAATCCATAACAGGAAAGTAATCACCTCCACTTTCATCTCCATCTCCTCCACCACTTGCATCTCCATCTCCGCCATCTCCTGGATTAGAGTTGAGATCATCTTGATCGTACCCATAGATGTCATTGTGTTTACTCCTCCAAAATTTCTTCTTTCTTGGTGTCATCTTTGACAAATCCTTCTCCAGAATATTCATATTTTGTTGAAGTATTGCGGCCTCCCTCTCTTTCTTCTCAAGAGCCCATTGTTCCGCTTCCTGCTCCCTCACTTGCCTCTTGTATGCCCATTCCTCGGCTTCCCTCTCTAGTCTCCTCTCTTGAAGATTAATTTTTCTATTTTCGTACTCCATCCTCGACTTTTGCCTCTCTCTCATATCATTACCAAACTCTAGCAGTTGAGTAGTGTACATGTCTGACGATTCTGCAACTACCTTACCTTTCTTTTTTGCTGCCTTTTGTTTGTCGCGTCCTTCAGTGCGAGACAGCACGAAAGGCGTAGCTCCCTCGTCTGGTATGTCGTCGAGGCCTTCCACAGGGGAGGATTGAGAACCAATACCTATGGGAGAACTTTGAGAACCTTGACCCATAGGTGGAATTGGACCGACAACCAATTGAGGGTCACAATACCACTTTGGGCAATTTCGAAGGATGACCCAACAATGCTCATGTTCAAAGGCTTTGTCCCCATTCTCTTCCTTATATATCTGTCTTGCTACAAATTCCTATCAAAATTATTCATAAACAAGTTAGATAAGTAAATATACATAAAAATAAGAAATACATAAGTTAAAGTTTCCAAAACAATACCACATCAACTTGGTTGGTAACGCTCGTTTGACTCCTCTCCGCCTTCTGCAAAGCTCCCTTCTAAACTTTACACTTGTTACTGATAAGTCTCAGTCGGGATTCCATTGAATCCGTAGTACGAATTGTTGTAGGATCGCTTCTTCGAAATTCCCTCTCCACCCTTTCCCATAATCTCGTGCTCTTTTGATTGATGCCAACCGCTCCATCTTCAGATATTGATATCCAAGATTTGCACAAGTTTACATCTTCATGAGCTTTCCAATTGGGTCCTCTCTTACTTGACATGTTTTTGTTTTGAGAGATGATAAATAGATGAGAATGAGAGAGATTGATTTGAGAATGAGTGCAGAAAAACTATGAGAAGTTACTCGTTATATAGAAAAAAAATATGGCCGTTAAAATGTGTCTGTTGCAATGTGACCGTTTTATTGTCACTATATTACTTCTTTCAAACTAAAACGCAAACACACCCACACAAATAACCACCCAAACAAATTGAAAAAAAAAAGGCAGCAGCAGTGGGGGCCCCGCGTGCGGCCCAGGCGCGCCTCCCGCCGGTGGTCCTCCTGCACGCGGCGTCCCCCCTTCCAGCTGCTATTTTTGCCCATTTTCCCCCTTCTAGCTGCTACCTATCCACCCCAACACTCCCTTCTCCAAATTTGGAAGCTAAATTATTGATGGGTTGGAGATGAAAAAAGGCAAAATGTTCATTTTCTCCAAATTTGCAAGCAAGGGTTGGAGTTAGTCTTACCCGTGCAAATTTAGCCATTGGGTTGTGACATGTACGTGTATGACAAGGATCAAACGATGCGTGAGTCTATGAACAGTTCGATTTGGAAGAGAAGTGTTGCCGCTTATATGGCGCTGTTGGGATCCTAGCTCTCAAATATTGGGAAGCTTTGCGGCTGACGATTCCACTTTTCAAGAGGTGAACAAATTACCGTACATTTAATATAGTTCTCCTTAGGCAAAATACACTTGTATAGCCAAAACATTTACATTTGTGCCACTTATAGTCACTTTTGGCGAAATACCACTAATAGCCACTTCCGTCCAATTCTTTAACAGTGTTAACGTTAAGTCTGATTGGACAAACGGAAATGCTGACGTGGCGAGCTCTAATTTCAGTTATCCTTTGTAATTATCCACGTGGATAATGGTTAATTAAGAAAAATAATAATGGATCGAAAATTAAAAAACCCTGACCCTTCCTTCCTTTATCTTCATCTTCTTCGAAATGTACAACAACGTTTTTCCGATCTAAAAACTTCCCCTCTGCTTCTCATCCATTCGACTTTTGAACCGAGTCCAGTCGAGAAACTCTATAATATCGATGCAATTCTGGAAGAAGGGCTTCGAAAGGGAAGGAGGAAAAGGGGTTTCTTCTTCGGAGGCTGCTGTTAACGACGATTGCCGACACAGACAATGGCAGGGAAAACTCGGCGGCTAGAGGGCGGCGCTAGCTGCGATAGGTGAATCCACTGTAGCTACTCTGCTGCGAACCTATGCGGGAGCTCGAATCGACGATTAACGGCGCCTTCTTCTCTGGATATGGTGAAGCAGAGGTAGATGGGGGTGGCGACTTGGTGACTTGGAAGACTCGACGGCGAACAGGATTGACGTCGCGAGGAAGATATAGCGAACTTGGTTGCTTAGCTTCTTCCCATCCTTCCTTTCTGCGAGGCATCGATAGCGTCGGGGAACGAGAACCAAAGGCGGAGTTGATGCTTGAATCGAGAGAGGAAGAAGCTCTCTCTAGCACCAAATAGCTCTAGATTCTGGGTGGTCGATTCAACCCTAGATTGAGAAGATGTCGATTGGGAAACTTCAAAATTGGCGAGAAATTTTGGGGGAAATTTGGGGAAAGCTTCAATCACCGATTTTTTGTTATTTGCAGGAAGTTTGGGTAGGAATCGCCGATTCAATCGCCAACAGGCAGGGAGCAAACCCTAAAGTCGAAATCGGGGAAAGAGGAGGAAAATTTTTAATTTTTTTCTTGTTTATTTTGTGTAAATAATAAATAATTTAAATATCTAACGTGTCACTATTTGCTTAGTTTTCGCTGACGTGTCTGCTGAATTAACGCCTCGTCAGCCGAAAGTCAAATAAGTTGACGGTGTTATTAATACCGTTATAGTTTCTAACGGAAATGACTATATTTGGCACGCAACATCTTTAAAAAGTGGCTATTAGTGGTATTTCGCCAAAAGTGGCTATAAATGACATAAAGGTGATAGTTTTGGCTATGCAAGTGTATGTTGCCTTCTTATTATATAGTTATGTTTGTTTTACCTAATGGTTCTTTTGGTAAAACAGAGTCTTTTTTATGGTTATATAATTTTTATAGTTGTTATATTTGTTATGTAATTGCTAATTTGGTATAGGTGTTATAGTTGTTATATATGTGTTATAATGGTTATAGTTGTTGTAACTGTTATAAAAGTTGTTTGTTGTTACTTTAACGTTGACATGATGTCAGTTTTTCGGATTAATAATATAAAAGGTCATTTATATTTGGGGTTACTAACAAGTAAGTCACGTACATTTTCAATAATTAATATATCGCTCAATTAATCAACCTCATCAAAATTATATTAAACTAAAAATCATTACTCAAGTTGAATCAAAACAAAGTCAAACAATTCGAAATGTCTGACACAAACCTCATTGATTTACTCGAAACCAACCTAATCTGCCCTTTCTCTGGACTCTCACTTCTCTTTCTATTAAACCGATGTCGTTCCTATTAATATTGGTCAGTACGTGTTAATTTGAAAATAAAAGTGCCCTCTTTTCAAGTTAGTATTTAGTAACCAATTCATCAAAATCTCACAGGTAGGTAAGCATTCACTTATACAGTGTTTAGCAAAAATTACTCCTAAGTCCCATTTACAACACTTATTTATACTAACTACTCAATCTCTTTCGTTGCTATGCTTGTCGGCTCACAGTGTCTGCCGACAGTAAGGGCACGTAGAGTGCGACCGGAATCACACCCTGAGGCAAGCGACGTGAAAGTCGTGATTGCAGGCTGGGCTGGTCACCAGCTTTGTACTCCTCTAGGCAGATCCTACACTCGGTGGTAAGCTTGAGCATGGCTCATTTAGAAACTGAGTGAGCTCGAGCTTTGCTCATTAAGGAGTTCATGAGCTCTACTCGAGTTCGGCTCATCAATCAGTTCACGATCGCATCTCATTTATAAGTCTCAATGGTTGAAGCCTTAAATGGAACTCTAAAATAATTTATCTGTCGTAATATTTGTATGTCATATATGATATACGTGGTTAATAATAAAAAAAAGAATAATATTCAGTTTTCATCACTAATTTATCTCATATTTATATATTGGTATAATATAATTTAGTTCATAATTTTTAACTAATTCATATTAAGTTATTTAATAATAGTTAGTAACTGAACATTCTATAATATATAATTTCATGTAAATGTGACATATTTGGTCACATACTCAAAGTCTTAAACCATAATATATTATGGATATATAATCTAACAAACATATGAATTATTAAGAACTCATATCATAAGTTATATATATTGATTCGCTCATAAGACGCTCGTCGAATTGGCTCGCTAACCATACTATTGAGCCAACTTATTTATTGAACTCAACGACCCACTAGATCGAGCTAGCTCGCGATCCTCATGAGCCGAACAAGGATGAGCTCATACTTGACTCGTTTACTAACTAGCCGAGTTACCAACGAGCTTTTTCTGAATCGAGCATCGAGCCGCTCATTAGCAGCCTGAGTAATTTACAACCCTACTTGACACTTGTTATGACATGAAAGCAAGTTAGTGGCTTTCTTTGGTATATACTGTATTCACATGGAAGGGCTCTGTATATGTCATTGGTAGGGATGTTAATGAACCGAGCTATTCGTAAGCGGCTCAGTTTCGGACTCGAAAAGCTCATTCGATTAAAAAAAAAAATCGGCTCGTTAATAAATGAGTCGAGTTTGAGCTCTACCTTGTTGGCTCGTGAAGCTTGTGAATTCGCTCTATTAGGTGGCTCTTTAATACAACTCATGAACTGTCTTGTTTTGAACTTAAATGAGATGTCCCAACATTGTGACTAGAGAGCCAACTCGACTACAACTTATGAGAAAATCAATCTATATTTTATGAGTTGGTTTGTTAAAGATGCATATAATTATTAAATTGTATATATCACCTCATATGGTGTTTAATACATTGAGTATATGTAAGCAAATATGTCATATATAACATAACATTAGGTAATCACATATATCATATATGACATATAAATATTATGGTATTTATATATTGGGCATACTCTTCCCCAAACAACTAACTCTCCATCCAACCTACTTTTTCCCCAGTTCTCCATCGTTGCCGTCACACGAACTCTCCATTGAGGCTCCACTGTTATAGCAACTGTTCCAACCCCGGTGCCAAACTCCCAGTCCCCACTTTGCCGACGGCGGTGACGGCTATGGAAGGGGAAGAAAGACAAGAAAATTGGCAGGGTCGATGGACCCCTCAAAACAAACTCTGGCCAGCTTACAGCAACCGCAACAGCAGGCGACGCCTCGGGTTTTGGGGAAATGGCCACCTACACTGTTCGTCCCGCCGGTGGTGAGTCGGAGGCGGAATGGTGAGCAAAGTGCTTCTGCGCTGCTGTTGGGGGCCATCCCTCTGCACCTCTTCGACCATTGACTGTGCCAGATTCCACAAATAGGTTTGTCGCACGAAGGTACTGACCAAGTGGTGGTAGCTGCTAGATCTGGATTATTGAAGAAGAGAGGAGAAGGAATCCGAATATTGAATGGGTACCAATTGAAACTCGTGGGGCAAGATGGGAAGGAAGGAGATTTTTCTAGGATGTAATCTTTGCGAAACATGAGGTAGTCGGAGAAGAGAGAAGATGGAGGGATTACGGTGGTGACGGTGGCGAGAAGGAAGAGTGAGAGTGAGGGGCTACGGGTTTTTCCTGAAATTCATTTTTCATTTTCACTTTTTTTTTAATTCAAAATGGAACAAATAAATAGTAATAGGTGGAAATTAAAAAAAAATTAATTGAAATTTGCTGAGTTGGCAGTGACATGGCGTGTTGGCCTTTAGTCAACGTGTTTGACCGTCCAAGTTAACGGTCAAACGTCGGGTCTGGTCAAATTAGTTATTTTGATGTATAGTTCGGGCCAGGATGTTATAAATCTAAAAGATTGACCATGGTGTTTATTTTGGTCAAAGTTCAGGCGATACAAATATATTAACCCTTATATTATAAATTATCTTAGAGCGATGTTAATGATGTGTCAAGATTTAATAAATGAGTTGGCTCGTGTTCGACTCGACTCAGCTCGTTTATAAACGAGTTGGGCTCGAGTTAGACTCGTTTTTAAACGAGTCGAACATGAACAAGGCAAAGCTCGACTCGGCTCATTAACAACCCTAGTCATTGGTATTGAATCAAGGGTAAATACAATATATTAACCACAACTATTAAGAAGCGAGAAATTATGGCCGGTAAATACAATCATTGTCTCGTCATTTTGATCTGCAAGATGAAGTGCAGAAGTGTGAAAGCAGAAGTGTGATTGTTTTCGTCACTTATATAAGTTGCAAGTATGACCTAACTTCTTACTTAGGCATTTCATGATTTATTTTGTTAGGGAGGCAAGTCTATTTGTAATCTATTTATATTTTCATTTCATTAAATAACATTTGTGTTGACTTTGTTCTGGCTATTAATAGGATATCATTTGTAATGATTTTTGGCTATGGACATCATTTAAAATGTGCTTTATATCTTCATTTCATTAATCAGACTCTCAATACTACAAATTCAAACATGGAGCATTAGAAAGAAGAAAACAAGGCGTAATTAATTATGGAAAATCTGTTAAATACCGTGATGAAATTTTAGTATCTAGGCACGGGAGAATCAACCAAATACTGTGATAAAATGTTAGTATCTAGACACAGGAGAATCAACCAAATACCGTGAATAATTATTGTCATCTAGTCACGGGAAACAATTTTCTCACGGTAAATACTGTATTAAAAGCTCTATATCCCGTCTCTAAATGAGTTTTTTCCCCAGTTTTGTGTGGCAAGACTTGGCATTTGTCATGGGGCTTCCCGTGACAAATAGGTATAAAATATCACGGGAAATCATACCGTGTTTAGTTAAAACTAGTCACGGTACAAATTTCCCGTGACCTTTACAATTAGACACAGAGGTATATATTACGGTAATTTTACCATGACTAAAATAATTAAACACGGGAAACACACTTTCAAACACGGGATTTACTATGAATAAATGTATGTTTCCTGTAGTGACAACTATCAAATACAAATTATTAGCCAACCGTTAAGTCTCCGATTACACTTTTGTTAAATGATGGTGAGTTGGCAGATGTTATAATGACGAAAAGAGATATTTCGACGTGGCAGTCCACCAAAATGCCACATCAGCAGGTCAACTTTTGACCATTTTTATTACTCAATTCTAAAAACAAAGAAAATCAACACTAAAAAAAGCACACCAACGGACTTCTTCCTACTCTATCAAACATTGCTTTCTTTTCTTCCTATTGTTGTCGAGTTCCATCTCCCAGATCACACACACCACAACGACCCATCCGCGAATTGAGAGTTTCCAAAGCCGACGAATTGAGAACACGCCGTCAGATGTTCAAG